AAATTCAACAGTAGTCACAACCAGGGACGGAACTTGTTGTGACCGGAAGAGCCACGACTCTTCCAAAATTTTCAAAATTTATATATATATATATATATATATATATTAATATTATATTTATATATTATCATATTATTAACTATAATAAAGTTAAAAAAATTGAGTAAAAAAAATGAAAAGTTCTATTATTTCATGCATAATAATTTATATTAAATAAAAATATAAATATATAAATATATATTAATCAGTAAATAAACTTTGTTTTCTAATTTTTTTCCTATTTTAGTTATTCTTGTTTTTTTCTATTGTTTTTTCACTATTTCTCTGTTAATCTATAGAAAGCATTGGAACCAATAATTTACGAGGTGACGTGTCTCTTTTATTCCTTTGGTTCAGAATCTCCCACGTGCTCTGTCACCTTACCTGTGAAATGTGGATAATTTGATCCACATTTTGATGAGTAATACCGTTCCAAACAAACTTAGGTATTATATTATTTTTTTCTTATGTCTGTCTCATTGTGACACCATCTCAGTTTGGCTCTCGTGATATAAAAAATTATGTGGTTTCAAATCAATTTACTAGATAATAGATATGATATCATATATAATAATTTTTATGGTATTCTTTTATCTTTATTCCTTTCAAAATTATGTCATTTTTATTTCATATTTATCTATTTTTCTCATTGTTTATTATATACTTTTTTATATGAATTTTTAGTATAAATATTTATTATCAATATAATATGTTATGTATCTACTCCCATGAACAATAGGAAGAACATTATAATACATCAATAAATGTTAAGAGATTTTACATTGATTAATAATATAATTAAATTAATATATAATTAAAAAACAAAACTCACCTTATAAATGAGTTTTATAAGGTTAAAATAGTATCAAATTTATTTTAATAAGTATTGGTAAATTTATTAAGTCATCTGTTATAAAATTGTTATTTAACTATTAATATTTTTGTAAATTTTACACTTGAGATGTTCAATTTACTATATGAGAAGTGTGTATTAAATATGTCACATCAATTGAGTAGATAATTTTTTTCATAAACATTTATAGAATAAAAAATATGAAAGAAAATCAAAATAAACTTCTTGATAAACTAAAATTAGTTTATACATGAATTAAAAATAAAATTTTAGAAAATTCAATAGGAGTTAGCTTATACATGAGACAGTTTTAACTTATAGAGAAACTTATTTAATTTATCTTTTCTATTTTACTCTTGTAGAAGTATTTTTAGATAAATTTACCCAAACAAATTTTAAGGTCAATTTGTTTTTCTAAAAGGTCTTGATTGATTAAAAAAAAGAAAAAAGTTAGTGGTATGTATGTAGGAAATTCTTCTTCAATAGGAAGTTATAAATGTCCTTCAACATATTGTTTGATGTGTTTTCCTTTTTATTTATTCAATATATTATAAAGAGATCTTATTAGAGATGACAATGTGTGTTGAATTCGATGAGTCAATTCATTAATCCATCTAATTTTGATGGATTGAGTTTGACAAATAAATCTACCAATCCGTTCAGCTCATTATGCTAAACCTGTCAATTTGCTAGGTTTAACCTACCAACTCGGTTAATCAATCTTCTAATCCAATATTTTTTTATGTTTTTAAAGAATATAAACTTATAGTGGACTTATGTTGATCAATATTTTTATTTTATAATTCAATTTTTTCTAGGTAATTATTATCATTTTATATGAAATAGAAGTTTATTGTTTTAATAACATTTTTTATCGGCACATTTTCATGTATAATATCTTTTTTAATTGGAATATATATTATTTTATCTCTTTTCATGAAAATATAACATCTCTATTTAATTTTATAAATAATAATAAAATACATATTAAAGTGATATTGAAATATTTTAATTGAGATTTAAAAAAATTGAATAAATTGAAGGTACATCAATTTATCAACTTATCATTTTTAACTCATGAATCTACTAAAGTGGGTTAAACTGTGAATCCAACACTAAGTAAGACGATTCACATTTTTCAACTCACTTCCCTAATTTGGTGGGTTATGTTGTCTTGTGTCACTTCTTTGTTGAGTAAACCCACCCTGTCTCGCTTAAGATGAATTGGCCCATGTTGCTTAAGTGTTATCAATAATTTCATAAATTTAAAGATAATTACCTATTTAACTAATAAAAAAGTTATTACTGGTCCCGTGAACCATTTTATGCACCATGCCATACTGGTATAGAGTTGCTTAATTGACATTTTGGTGAATACTACACACCACATCATACCGGAGCAGGTTTCAAAATTTTATCTCATTACACTGGTTTTAAAATGTTCTTATTATTTATTTTATGGACCAATGTGTGTAGCTGCATTACTCTGATTCTGATCTCATAATTTGCACTGTGGGGTGGACTATGGGCCGTTAGGCTGCCACTATATTATTCCGTTTTGGGCCATATCCACATACATACAATAAACTATTATACAGTAATAATGATTAGAAAAAATAACTTGTCAGAAAATGGGTAATGTCGTAAATTTTATACTATTATCTGATCACAAATTATTATTTATAATATAAGTTATTAATTTTTATAATAAATAATAAAATATTATACATAATATTTAATTAGTTACATTAATACACTACCATTAAATTCATAACTTATTACGCTTTAACAGAAGATGTAATTTTGAGATGGTATGAGATTTTTTAATATTATATTTTCAATTCTTCTGTTGTTTTACTATTATTTTAACATCAGATCATCGTCATCGTATTATATTTTGCTCTTTTTATTGTAGTTTTCAGTAATATTTTTATTTTATTGTTTACGTATTCCATTATACTTTTATCTTTGTACGCTATTATCATATTTTTAATTTTAACTTCTAATTTTTCATTTTAATAAATTATTATTTTATTTTATTCATATTTATATATTATTAATAGTATTTTGACATATATAATGTACATGTTAAATGTTTATTACATATAATTAAAATTTAAAATAAATTATGTATATAAATAAATGTCATATTTGAATATATAAATTATATTTTAAATTTATGTTAAATAATTTAAATTAATATAATATTGTTTTTATTTATTGATAATTTATTTTAATAATATTAAAATATTATATTAATCTAAATCTTTATTTTTCCTTTGTAGTTTTTAAACTTTTGATTTTCTTTTAAAAAAAATTAAAACACCATTTATGAATATTGATGTTTTGATATTACATGAGTTTGTTTGCATTAAATCAATTAGTTCATTATAAATTTATTATAGTCAATTTGACATTTTAAAATGGTATGTTAATTATTTATTTTCGTAGTACTAAAAGTTTAATCTAGTTCATCTTAACCTTAAAATCAAGTTATATACATGTACGTTTATAAAATAAAATGATAAATTCTCTTAAGATAACTTACCTTGTAGAGACCTTTTTTACCTTCTTGTACGTTGATAATTTAAATGACACCAAAACTAACCCACTAAAGTTTTATTCTATTTTGTCCGACCTAAAGAAGATCGACCAATTGGAGATAGACTTAAGGAGATCACTTTATAACCTTATAGAGTACACAATCTTCTAACCTTGAGTACAAGGAGTAACATCTCAACCACATCAAAATGAGAGATCTTGAAGTTGAGAGATCAATACTCTATAATTAAGAATGACTTAAGAAAATTAATTACTATTACTTATGTCAACAATATGTATCCACCTTTGGATAGTTTATCACTTAAAAACTTTATAATTAAGCGTGTTTAACTTAAAGTAATTTAGTGATGAATGATTTTTTAAAATTTTTCTTTTAAAAAAACGTATAAGTGAAGACAAAATATATTAAAAATTCTTATATTGGTTTGTAGAGACAATCATCAATTGTAAAAAAAAATGGTAAGGCATTTCATAAAAGGTTACTTATTGGGGTTTTTGATCAGTAAAAGATTCTATTCAATAAAGAATTGAATGAAATTTCACCAAGGGAAGTATTGTGAAGTATAGCGTTGCGATATCAAATTTAAGGAATGTTGCAAGAAGTGCAAAAAGGCTAACAAGATCAAAATAAACTCGGATCAAATTTTAATCTAAAAAGGTACATAAATCCATCAGCCTTGAATACATGGTGTAAGGAGTTTTTATGAGATTGAGAAACTCATCAAAATTCTATCCTAAAATGTTTCGATATGAAAGACATTGTAAAAATGTCTAATGGCTGATCAATTTCAAAACACTCAAAAGAGTATTTTGACTTGTCTTAACCATAAAACTAAGTTATATATGTGTACAATTTCATAGTAACTTCCTAGGTTCTCTAAAAATAACTTGTAAAAATCTCAAAGTGATCCTTTTTATCTTATAATTAAAAAATATAACTCATTTTCTATAATTAAAAGATATAACTTGCTTCCACTAGATCAACTCATATTATAGATAAAGAGGTGTTTTCGGTCTCAATTCCATATTCAACGCAAGTCAACCTCCATCTTTAATTAAAAAAAATGTCAAACTATTTTAAATTTTTATCTTTAATACATATCTTAACATTCATAATAAATTAAACTTCCCACATGAGCTTTCCAATGTCGAGTAAGAATAAGTTGCTGACAGTGAACATTTAAATAAGATAAAGTACGAAAGACAAAAAGAAAATAAACAAACTCAAGAATAAATATAACAAAAAGAAATAAAAGAAGATAAACATTTACTGAAAATGTCGTCATTATTTTGATTTAGCCGACAGTAAAAATGATAAGAAAAAACAAATAAATTAGACAAATCTTAATTGGTGGGGAGGAAGTATTCGACAGGAAGGGGTGGTTGATTAGTTAGAGTAGTAGTTGACAATTAGGAAACGAAGACTGGGCGAAATGCCATGCCACCACCACCGAAATTTGGACGTGCCCAAAGTTAAAACAAAATAAGATTTAATTTTATTCATGGGAAAATAGTGTAATTAGTAATAATAATTTGAGTAATTAATTGGCATGGTGTGTATGAAGTATGAATTATGAAGCAAATAATAAATGAAAAATAGGATTAATATAAAAGGAGTCCGTGGAGGGAAGGATTGTGAAAAAAAAAGAGAAAGAATATGGAGCGAGGGAGCATGGAAGAGAAAGAGATGGAGAGAATACCGCAAATGGTGCAAGTTCTAGAAGCTCTGAAAGAAGCCAGCCACGAAATCCAACGCCACCACTCCCCTGATTCTCCGGCCACAAAAGCGCTTCTGGAACTCCACACTATTCTCTCCTCCTCCGACCCCAACCTCTCCGCGCTCTACGACCACCTCCGCCGCCTCAAAACGCTCCTCCACTCCCTCCACCACTCCACCGGCCTCCGATCCTTCCTCACGCGCCCCCTCTCCTCCCACTCCCTCTCCCGCGTCGCCGCCTCCATCCACTCCGAAATCCAAGCCTGGATCGACCGCGAAACGCTCCGCGCCCTCTCCGCTTCCCTCCGAAGCCCTAACCCTCACCAGGACGAGTTGCTGGCGCTGTTAACTCAGTTCGAGGACCGAGTCTCGCAGGGCTTCAGCCGCCAGTTGCAGGAGCTTATTCTGAAGCACAAGCTCTTCAGCTCCCTCGAGTCGGTTCTCTTGGACGCCAAGTTCCCGAACCGGGTTCGGGAGCAAGCCGGCGTGGCAGTGGCCGCGTTGATCCGCTTTAATAAAGACGTGTTCGTGGGCCAGGTCTTAATGGGCCCGACCGTTGGGGCTTTGGTTTCGATGGGCTCGGTGAAGTCGATCTCGGTCCTGTGCTCTCTGATCAGGTCCATTAGGTCGCCTCTGGTGGACGAGATCGAGTCCAACGGGGAGATTCCGAAGGTGATCGCGGTGTTGGATTCGGACGATGTGGGGCTTCGTGTGGCGGCGCTGGAGTGCGTGCTGGAGATAGGGTACTTCGGCCGGAAGGAGGCGGTGGAGGCCATGATGAAGGAGGGTTTGGTGGAGAAGCTTATGGAGTTGCAGAGATCGGAGAAGGGTGAGGGGAACCGTTTTGGTAGCTGTGTGGCGAGGTTCGCGGTGCAGTTGGAGGTGGGGGAGGGTTTGCGGCAGAGAGAGAAGAGGGCTTTCAAGCCTGAGATTTTGGGGAGGGTTAGAGAGGCCTCTGTTTCTGATGCCGAAGCTGCCACCGTTGCTGCTGAGGTTTTGTGGGGTTCTTCGCCTTGACTCTCTCTTCACACTATTCATTCGCCTTCTTCTTCTCTAACTATTCATTCTTTCTACACTCACATGAGTGTCTGTGGGTGTTTCATTTGATTTCCTCTTCAAATCATCATGGGAATGCATTTTCGGTGTTGCATTCTGTAAAATTGTTACAAAAGTTACTAGTTTTTAGTTATGTGTAAATTGGTAGCTAAATGAAACTCTACAACGTCCCAGTATTTCAGATTGGATTAATTATTTTTGCTGGATTTTCAGCTAATCAAACATGAAATTAAAGAGTTTTTTTTTTCTTTTTCCTTTCTAGTCTAGGAATATAGTATATACGCAGTATAATAAAGTTTAAATAATTAAGGATTCGTTTGCATTACAAAAATGATCTTGAGAATGAGAACACTAATTTATGTTTCAAAAAGTTGAAAATTAAAATCTAATTCTGAATAAATTTTATTCTGGGAACAGAGTTCACCGCCTTTCAACCTTAAACACTTACTTTGCTATGTTAATTTTAGTTTTTTTTTGTTTTTTCGATAGTTGAATATGGGTGGATAGATTACACGAGATTTTGTAAAAACGTGAACGGAAACTGGAATGTGAGGGAAATTATTTGGATACGGAATATGCTGAAAACAAGAGGACTGGGGAATCTGGAATATGGAGGGAATCGTTTATGGCATATGCCATTCTTGTGGTGGGGGAACTGCATCGGAGGATGGAAATAAATAATCAGAAGGTTACGTGTGTTAAATAATCTGAATAAATAAACAAGATTTTCAAATGCTCGATGCATGGCATGCACACACTTTTATGCTCGCTGTTGCATTTCTTAAACAAAGTGCTGTGTTGGAGCAGAATATGATGTCATCTTTTTTATAGGCTAAAAATTGATTTTGATCCTTTATAATAATTGTTTGTTTCAATTTAGTCTCACTTTTATTTTTTGTCTCAATTTGGTCCCTAATAAATTAATTGATTGCAATGTAGGACTTCTGTCTAAATTATTTAAACAGAGTTAACCGTTGGCCACGTGGATGTCACGTAGATGCATAGGTGGATGCCAATTTTTTTTAAAACACCTGGAACCAGAACAGCCCGTTCTGTTCTGGGTGCACTCTTGGTGTGTTAATTTTGCATCCGGAACGGCCCGTTCCAGGTGCAAAATTAACACACTAAGAGTGCAACCAGAACAGGCCGTTCTGGTTTCAGAACGGGCTGTTCTGGTTCCAGACTGTTATACACAATCTGTCGATGATTATAGTTCACGGTTGTGAATCATGGAAGGAAAAAGACCCAAGGTACAAAACATTTCAAACACTGAATTTGGTAATATTGTCAATGAAAATTGATAACTTCAATTGCTAAATAGTTGGGCTATACACTGTATCATTAAGGACAATGCAGTGTATCACTAAAGACAACGATAACAGATTTTATTTCATTGTTAGTCAAACTGGAGTGAACCACTTACTACCAAATTGACACTATACAGTAAATGATGAAATGACATGGTATTTTTTCTTGAAGTCATTAATGATGTATCCCAACAACAACAACCTGTTCTTGAAGAGGTAGAACTTGAAGTAAAGGAAGAGGATACACAGGACTAATATTTCACCACACAACCACATGCAGGGATGGATCTAAGTTAATGCCCCCACTAAAATTTTTTTCATTCTTTTTTTTGTATATAAAATATTAATAATTTTATAAAATATATATTATTAATTATATTTTAATTATCTTGTTATATCTAATATAATAAATACATTAATATATTTTTTTATATTTTATTTTATTGTTTAATTATTTTTTATTTTGTGGTAAAATTATCTTCATTTTTAATGAAGAAAAAATTTACTTACTTCAAGAGTAAGTCTTGATAGATTTATTCTATTTAATAATTAATGTTCTATATCAAATTTTTAAAAATTTAATTGTTAAATTAAAAAGCTTTTCATATATAGATCAAATTTATAAAATTTTTTAAAAAATTAAAAATCATATGATACTTCGTTAAATTAATTCAAAATAACATATAAAATATTTTTGTTTTAAATGAGTGTAAAAATTTAGAGGACACTAAAAGAAAACAAATTAATAATTTTATTATGTTTATCTTATTAATTTTTATCATTTTATTCCTCTAATTTTAAATAAGTTGTAAAAAATTATTAAGTGACACTTAAATATTTCTTCAGACAGAAAAAGAAAAAGGAAAATTTATCACTCTATTTATAAGATAATTGTATTTTATAAAAAATAAGTAATTTTAAAATTTTTATCATAAAAAAATATTTTTTAAAATTATTATAGTTCTGGAACGGGCTGTTCTGCATCTAGAACGGCCCGTTCTGAAACCAGAACGGGCCGTTATGGTTTCAGAACGGACCGTTCCTTTGTACTCGTGGTGTGTTAATTTTGCATCTGGAACGGCCCGTTTCAGATGCAAAATTAGCACATCAAGTGTGCACTCAGAACGGTCTGTTCTGGTTCCAGGTGTTTTCAATAAATTTGGCATCCACGTGGCATCCATCCACGTGGCCAACAGTTAACTCCGTTTAAATAATTTAGACGGAAGTCCCACATTGCAACCAATTAATTTATTAGGGATCAAATTGAAACCAAAAATAAAAGTGGGACTAAATTAAAACAAACAATTATTATAAGAGACTAAAATAGGTTTTTAGCCTTCTTTATACAATAGACATTTGTTTAAGACGTTACAATTTTTGGAAATTATATTTTTAGGAATGACATTATTAAGAATAATATGACATTTTTTTTTGAAATTTGTACTGTCCCGGTCAGAATCTGATCTAACCCCTAAATAGGTATTTTTTCGATTCCATGGCTAGTTGAGCCCCTACGCCTTACAGGCTCGGGGCTGGAAGGCAAGTGCATCTTCCTGATCAAAATCAGATCTGACCTCCCTACATGGGTGCACTCGGTCAGAATCTGACCTGTCTGCAGGAGTAACTCAGCAAAAATTCGATCTGACCTTCTCACGTAGACACTGATCCGATATCAGGGATAAAATCCCATCTTTAATAAATATTTTTTAAATATTAATGGTTATGAAAATCTCTGCACTCACGGGGTCCATGAAGCCCAGAAACAAGAAAGTATAAGACCTAAAACCCTAGAGTTAAACGAAAATTACACATTACTCACTTGAATGCTCTGGCTAGAGAAAGTCGACCTAGGAAAAGAACCTTAGACGTCCTTGGCTGGAACAAAATTATAATCATATTCTTAGATTAGGAACATTTTTTAAAGTTGAAAATAATTTAAATAAAAAATAAAAGTTATAGCTGTGATAGAAATTTTTTTTTATATATATATTTATAAGAATATCTCTTTTCATCAACATACATAGATATAAAAATTGTCTAAAACATGAGTATGTACTTTTATTAGAATAAGGATGACAAAAAAAAAAGTTGTACTCATCGATACATGTAGATAAATAGAAAATTGGTTGCCTTAATGTATTCTTGTGAGTGATGAATATGAATATTTTTTTAGCTGCTTGTTAATGGAGCATGAATAAATATCTTGATATCCATATTTTCATACTTGCATGTATTTATACCCCCTAATGCTAAATTATCTAACTAGCTTTACATGAATACATATATACACGTGTATGTAATTATGCATGTAAAACTGGTAATCCTAATTTTACATGGTTCTTTTTTCTTTTTTCTACGAGCAATGAAGCAAGGCTCACGAGACTAAATTATTTTAGTTTATTGATTTTTGTTTGTACGTATAAGATTTAAGTTTTTTAGATATATTTTGACTAGTATCATTGTATAGAATAATGATGTAAAATATTTGAAAATAATTTTAGTTTTATGGCAGTTAAACTATTTGAAAAAAAAAATCAAGAATAACTAGAAGTTATTGTTAAAATGTTTTGATTTTAAGGCTCACGAGACTAAATTATTTTAGTTTATTGATTTTTGTTTGTACATACAAGATTTAAGTTTTTCAGATATATTTTGACTAGTATCATTGAATAGAATAATGATGTAAAGTATTTGAATAATTTTAGTTTTGTGGCCGTTAAACTATTTGAAAAAAAAAATCAAGAATAATTAGAAAGTTATTGTTAAAATGTTTTAATTTTTTTTCTTCAATTTATATGACTTTAGTAAATTCATTAATATCCATAAATATTCACAAATATTAATATTTTTTTCTTTTTATTGTTGTAGTATATTGCATGTTTAGAGTCATGCCTTTACAACATCGAGCATGACTCAAATCATATTAAAATAAAGTCATACCAAAATAATATTATTTTTAATTCATATTTCCGCATTTATATTATTTAAGTTTTTCTATACCAAAATAAAGATATTAAAATCATAAAAAAATACATTAAAAAAATATGTTTTATATTAAAATTTTATTAATGAATGAAATAGGCAATATAAAAAATGTTAGTAATATTAAATAAGTCATAAGGTTGACGTTATTAAAAACTACCTTAAAATACAATATTAACATAAAACTGTTCATAATAACTAAATAATTTCCTTAATGTTTTTTAATTAATAAAAAATTGTAGATTAAAATTGCTGATACTTTGTATTGACTTAAATTCAATAGCAATAATGAAATAAATAACGTCAACTAATATTTGAGATTATTGTAATTTTTTATCAATATTAAATAAAAATATTATATATATATATATATATATA